TCCTTCTGCTTCCATAATCCTATCCATATTTTTTTCACTTTTCCTAACCCAACCACAGAAGGAACTGACCTGTGGCTGTAGTTGGGCAGTTGCTTGCATGCTTAGCTTGTGCAGTGATGCCCTGGCTTCAATCACCAGCACTAAAACAATCAACAAATGGCCTAAGGATTGGCTGGATTTTTTTAAAGATTTATTTATTATGTATACAGTATTCTCAATATTCTGTCTGCAAGTATGCCTGCAGGACAGAAGAGGGCACCAGACCCCATTACAGATGGTTGTGAGCCACCATGTGGTTGCTGGGAATTGAACTTAGGACTGTTGGAGAAGCAGGCAGTGCTCTTAACTACTGGGCCATCTCTCCAGCCCAATTGGCAGGATTTGTTGTTAATTTTCCAAAAATTTCCCCTCTCTGCCTGTTTGAAAATCTCAATCCTTTTGCTATTAACATAATTACATGTTAATAGTCATATTCTGAGTGACTCAGTGTTGCCTTAAGAGACTGTGAAGCCTATAAATGCCGAAGACATTTCTGACACAAGGTTCTTAGAAAACTTCAATTCTCTCTCTGCCCTTCCTGATGACATCCTCATTTTATGATAGCTTACTTTAAAAAAAAAGCAGATTAGAGGGGTGAGAGCCAAAACTCAGTGGTTCGAGAATGCTTCCTGCTGTTCCAGGGGACCTGAGTCTGATTTCCAGCAACCACAACTGCCTCTAACTCCAGCTCTCGGGTCTCCAACACCTTTGTCTTTTGAGGACACCCGCAATCATGTGCATGTACTCACACACTGCTACACACATGCACATCATGTTTTTAACATCTCAAAATGAATGAGGGTTTATCTGTGTTCTTAGATGTTGCATTTCCTTTTACTGGTGCTTGCTATGTGGGCCTACACTGTCGCTTTCCTTCCTTTTCATCACATTGCACACCTTCAGAATTGCCACCGATGTGACATACTGGTGAAAACCTCTCTGTTTCTATGTTCTACAAATATACTGATTTTTCTGAATACTATTGTGATGGACATTGATTGCCGTAAGGGCATCAGATTACCAAGCACAGGGTTTCTGTAAACATCCCTCTGCTGGTTGTAACTTCAGATGACAAGCATCCATCAGCACGCTTTGGTGCCCATCTCAGTAGAAAAGACAGCAGATGGAAAAAAACCTTTCCTCAGAGTGCAAAGGCAGCCAAAGGTAATTATTATGTCTAATGAACACTTCCTTTCTTAAGTTTTAGAAAGGTTTTTGTTTGTTTATTTGTTTTTTTTTTTGTTTGGCTTTTCGAGACAGGGTGTGTCTGTGTAATAGCTTTGTCTGTCCTGGAACTTGCTCTCTAGACCAGGCTGGCCTCGAACTCACAGAGATCCACTTCCCTTTGCTCTGCTCCCCACTAGGTGCTGGGATCAAAGGCGTGCGCCACCAGCGCCCAGCAATGGTTTAATTTCTACAGCTGGAAACTAAATACAGCACTTTCAGTTCTAGCCCCTTGTTTGCAGCCTGGGCCCAGGGATAAGCTATACTTCCTATAAAGTTTAAGCCATCTTAGCAGTTCTTCCTCTGAGCCTCACATGAAGCATCCCTAGTGTTCTTCTGGGATCTAACCTGAGAATCTTTGTATGATCTACAATTTTGAGTCAATGTCTGATATCTAGCCTTCACCTATTCCGATGGCACCATGAAGGACCCACTGTAGACCACCAGATCTAAAGAGGAAGCGAATTCAAAGGCAGAAGAAGATTCTTCTTAGAGGCCAGATTCGGGGGTGGTGGTATTGGGGCACAGAAACATATGCTTGACAAGAACTCGCAAGCTGCTGCCGGCCTTGCCCCAACTGCGTGAGGTGAGTAACTTGTCTCAGTTACTGTTCTACTGCTGGGAAAGCACCCCATGACTGTCTTCATCACTGTGCTCTTGCTGTGAAGAGACACCCGACCAAGGCAACTTATAAAAGAAAACATTTAATTGGGGTGCCTTATAATTTCAGAGGTGTATCCTGTTATCACCATAGTGAGGAGCGTAGCAATATGCAGGTAGACTAAGACAGCTATTTAGTTGAGAGCAGTGTTATTATGTACAGGGAGAGAGAGAGAGAGAGAGAGAGAGAGAGAGAGAGAGAGACACTAGGCTTGGCATGGGTTTTTGAAACCTCAAAGCCACTCCAAGTGACACACTTCCCCTAACAAGGCCACACTTCCTACTCCTTCTCAAGTAGGGACACTCTCTGATGACCAAGTATTCAAATATATGAATCTCTGGGGCCATTCTTACCCAAATCACCACAATGGCTGATACAACTTGTAAAAGAAAACGTTTAATTGGGAGCTTGCTTACAGTTTCAGTGGGCGCAACCATGACCAGCATGGAGGGGAGCAAGGCGACAGGCAGACAGACATGGCACTAGGGCAGTAGCTGAGAGCTTAGATCCCATCCAGGGAAAGCAAGACTGAGCATGGAGGGAGCTTTTGAAACCTCGAAGCCTGGCTCCCAGTGACAAACTCCTCCCACAAGGCCATCACTCCTAATCCATCCTAAAACTGTTCTAACAGGGACCAAGCATTCAAATATATGAGCCTATGGGAGCCATTCTCGTTCACACCACCATACAGCCATCTTCCATCTGCCTCCAGCACTGAGCTGCTCCTTCTCTGGGTCCAGGGAAGACGAATCCAGAAGAAAAGTCACCCGAGAGGCCAGAGAAGAAGAGCACAACAACTGAACTGAAGCAGGTGAGTTCTCTGAGTGGCAGTGCCGTCATTGTCAAATCGTGCCCTGTTTCATTTTTAAGACAGACTCCCATACAGCTCGGACTGTCATTGAACTGACTGTGACGACAAAGACGATCTTGAACTTCTGATAGTCTTGACTATACCTCTCAAGTGGGATTACAGGCATGTCTCGTCATATCCGGCCTAAACTGGGTTTTATGTCACAAACACAAACATGAAGGAGGAAGAGAATGCAGGAAAACACAGCACAAGAGTACAGGAAAGTTTATAAGCACTAGTGACCCAGACCAGTTAAAAAAAAAGTATGCCTTAGAAAAATATGCAGCCTATAGTCATATTTCTACAGTCCTTCATTGTCTGCTTTTCTGGCTCCTGGTCAGTCTCTAGAGCTCTTAAGCCACGGCGTGGTTCCTTAGTGGGACAAGGGCTCATAACTCCAGGATTCTGGGGGCTTACAGTATCAGGAATCGCTTCCAGCTGCTGTAGATGCAACAGCAGCTGGATGTCCGGGCCCAGAAGCTCAGGTTTTATCAGCCCTTGGTGTTACCAGCTCAGTCTGCTGTTATCTGTGACAAAGACCACAAGTCGGCAATACACGACCACCCAGGGAAGCATTTATTAGGCTGGATGCTGTCAATCCAGGAAAAATACCCCAGAGAAACCTCTGGGGTTAAGCTGACAAAACAGAAAAAGGCACATGACACACTCCTCCCTGAAGTATAATTCTACCAACCACAGTCTTGCATATTCAAAGCTCTCAGTTCTACCATTCATGAACTTTACATAGGCAACGACCACAGGATCTGTTTGGGAAACTATTAAAAACTTTGTAGTATAACAATCACAGGGTATTTCCACCCCCCACCCCTGAGTTAAACAACTGCGGGGTGAAGTAGAAGGAATACAAGCGTCCGAATCCCTGCAAGCTGTGTCTGGAGAAGCCGTGCTTACAGAGCAGGTGTAGTGACTTTCCTCCAAGTACCTATGGCTGCAGCGTCCTTGCAACTGGAGTGGGGTTTCCACGGAGAGCCATGGCTGTTCAAAGTAGAACAGCCTTGCGTGTTGTCTGGCTGTTGTCAAAGGGACCAATTGGCTGAGAGCTCCCTCATTAAGGCAGACAGGTAGAAGGGAAGGATCTGACAATTGTCATCCCAGGGAACTGATAGCTTACACCAAGCAAACTTTAAAAGATGCTTATGATACAGATGAAAGAAATGAACATTTCTGTAGTAATATCCAACAATGTTTAACCTGGACATAGTGGTCCATGCCTGTAATAGCGATAACTGGGAGGCTGAGATAGGAGGATTGTCCCTAGCTTCAGATCAGCCTGGGCTATGATGGAAGTTCCAGACCAGCCTGGGATATAGTATGAGGGAGACCCTGTCTCAAAACAACAATAACGACAAAGCAAACAAACAAAATAAAATAAAACAATAACTAACCCTAACCACGTGCCCTTAGGGAGAGCTGGGCCCTTCTGATAATTTAAACCTTAGAATCAGCTACATCATCCGTTAAAATTATAAAACACAAAAGCATGCTCTACGCTCCAAAGTAAACCAGAATCCCCAGAGACCGGATCCAAGAATCTGCCTGTGTTCCTATCAATATCCAAAAAAATGTTTTGTTTTGTTTCCCATATACATTGAACCAGGGTCTCATGTACGTCGCAGGTTGATCTTGAACTACCTATGTAGCTAAAGCAGGTCCTTAATTCCTGATCCGACTAGCCGCCCCCCCCCCCCCCCAAGTGCGGCTGTAGCAAGCATTAACCACCACAGGTAGCTTCAAAACAGCTTTCAACAGGGTCTTATGTAGCTCAGACTGGCCTCGAATTTCTGACTCACTTGCCCCTCCCTACGTAGAGAGCTGGACTGCAGATGTACGTCACCCTACCAAGCAATTCTGAGGCAGCCAGCTAAGGAGCCTCATACCAACCCTCTTTTAATGTTTTTACCTGATTTGGGTTCTACCTTGTCGTACATACACATCTGGCCTCAAGACACAATACTGAGCCAAGGGAGAAAGGAAGAGGCAGAAGGCAAGGGTGGAGGGAGTCACAAACTCTGGGTACAAAGCAAATTGGCTCTCTAAACTAGCCCGGCAGCGCTGGCTGCAGAGGCCTGTTGCGTCTTTTCCCCCTTCTTCTCCCCCGCTACCCCCCCTCTAGCCTCCCCCCCCAGCCCGACCCTTGGGCTAGGGACCGCCCCCACATTCCACTGATTGGCTCTCTTGGCCCGCTCGTCACACTCTTTTGTGTGTTGGTAGGCAGCTGATAAAAGCGCTGCAGTGGACCTGGGAACTGCGCAGCTTGAATTCGGTTACCTCTGGGTAGGTGGCTGGGTGAAGCAGCTCTTTCTGGTAGCTTCGGGTCGCTTAGCGGCTCTGGAAGCACCAGCCCTTTTTCTCCTGCAGGGTAACCCGACTGAAAGGCGGATTCCGTAGCTGAAGGCGTTGCAACAGCTGCTGGCCAGAGGCAGATCGCAGGTAAAACAAAAAACAAAAAAACAAAAACGGGGTGGGGGGAGGGACGCGAGTCCTTGGTAGGGGGTTGGGAGAAAGGGGGGAGGGGAAGCCCGCGGGTCCTAGGTGGCTCCTGCCTTGGAGAATCAGCAATTGCGAAGCGGAGGAAGGAGCATTTGCATGGCCTGAGTGCTTTGGAAGACACCTGGAAGATGACACTTGGTAGGATTTGCCTGACTGGGGAAGGGGTTGAGGGAAGAGGCCACCTGGAAGATGAGGGAGAAGGAATTATGTTTGCCTCGAACCCCCTATGCATCTCCTCTAATTTCCCTGGGCACTGTGGGGGTGGGTGTGTCCAATTCATGTTCCCTTTCTCAGTAGCAGCTCATCAAAGCGGAAATCTGAACTTGAATTCGGTGCAGCTGATTGTTAGAGCTGGGTAGGCTAATGGTGTCTTGCGGTGCAATGCGTGTCTGGGGGGGTTATCGTTTTAGATTGTATTTAGAAGGTTCGAGAGGGAATTTTCTGCCTGGTGACAGCAGAAGGGGGCGGGAGAAGAGGGAGGGGGAGGGTGCATCAAGATGACGATGACGATGGAGTCCGTTTCTGACACTTCCCTTCTCTGATGTGGCGCAGTCTTGAAGTCCTGAGCTCCAGGATCTGTGAGGCCCTGTGGACCGAGATCTACCCTACCCTGGAGGCCAGCTTTCTCCTGGAAGGACACAGGTTGCAGAGGCTGGAAATACAGGCTCACTCCAGCGTCCTAGCTAGTATGTAAGCATCTGAGAAATCACGGGGTGGAGGGTGGGGGTAATGGTCTGGGAGCTTTGAGGGGGGCAGTGTGGTTAAGATCAGAGATCCTGAGATCTCCTTTTAACCCCTGTGAATTTGCTTTATTTTGAGAGCCCGACCTCAGTTCCACACAGTGTTAAATCTACAGTCGAAGCAACAGTTGCCCTCCCTCTCCCAGGACTGGCAGGAGGGTATGGATGTCGTGACTGTAAAAAGCACTCCGTTAGTACAGAAAGATCAGCTAGCTCCAGGGGGCTCCAGGGGGCTCCAATTGGTCTCCTCCCCAGTATTTTAAGGACAGTGGAGAGATATATGGGCTATTGAGGTGCGATAATTACAACTCTAGCCTGTTCCTTTATTAATCCCCCTCTCGCTTTATTTCTTGCAGCCCCTACTGAGATTCGAGACTGCCGCGTGACTGAAGAAAAAGCGATTTTTCTAAAACTTCCTGTGCATCACATATTAAGATATCCTAAAGCCTTTGTCAGCCATGACTAGCCTCCTTTCACGTTTGGCTAACAGCCGGGGGCAGAACCCACCCCTGCCCCCCTGGGCTCATACCATGATGAGGTCCCTGGGCAGGAGTCTCGGTCCCCTAATGGCCAGCATGGCAGAGAGAAACATGAGGATGTTCTCTGGGAGGGTAGAGCTAACTCAGGGGGAAGAAACCTTTGAAAACTGGCTGAGCCAAGTCACTGGGGTCCTGCCTGATTGGCATATGTCTGAGCAGGAAAAGGTCAGGCGCCTAATGAAAACCCTTAGGGGCCCTGCCCGGGAGGTCATGCGTTTGCTCCATGCTTCCAATCCCGGCCTGAATGTGGCAGAATTTTTGCGGGTAATGAAACTGGTCTTTGGAGAGTCTGAGAGCAGTGTGATAGCCCATGGTAAATTTTTTAATATGGTTCAATCAGGTGAAGAGAAAACATCCCTGTATATGATCCATTTGGAGTCGCAGTTGCAGAATGCTATCCAGGCAGGGGTCTTTGCTGAGGAGGAGGCAAACAAGGCACGCCTGCACCAGCTCCTGGTAGGGGCTGATCTCAGTAGAGACCTTCGACACAGGCTTAAGGGGCTTCTCAGGATGTATGCACATGATCCAGAGAGCCTTCCTGATTTCCTGGAGGTGATCAGGATGATAAGGGAGGAGGAGGATTGGGAGGACACTTATATTAAACAGAAGCGGCCCAGAAGAGCTGAGCCAGTGTTGGAGAGGGCACCCAGTCCAGTGACATTTCAGCCCCCCCCACCAATAATGATCAACAATACTGACGGCGATGTGATAGAGATAGATGACTCTCCGGATGATTCAGATGACGATGTGATCTTGGTGGAGCCTGAGGACCCACCACTGCCATACGCAAGTGCCGCCCCCGTTGCAGGCAGGGCTGTTCCCGAGGACCAAGTGGTGGTCATTGAGTCCCCCCCCATTTCTGAGATTCAGTCTCCTTCCACCAGCAGTGGTTCTGGGCGTCCGAACAATAGTTTGGGGGAGGTGCGTAGAACCAGGAAGCGGAGACACGCAGTTCACTGCCCCGTTTGTGGCGAGGAGGGCCACTCTGAAGAAGCCTGTGAGGCCGCAAGGGCCCCCCCCCCCCCCCCCCCCCCCCCCCGTCTTATGAGTTTGTCGCCGTGCAGGACGTGCCCCAACCTGAGGAACCGAGGGCAAGAGAGGCTATTTTTGGACCCTTTTTCTTCTGTGAGCCACAGTAAGATGCTCTCCTCCAGCCTCGAATTAACCCTTACCTGTATTCAGAGTTCAATGACGGAGAAGTTGGGGGGACAGACTTGTAAATGCATGAAGAAATCCACAAAGTGGCTTTCTTTTGCGGGTAGAGAAAGGGTCTTCAACACCAGGACAGTAGAGAGAAATGGTCTGATCTTTTGCGGGTAGAGAAAGGGTCTTCAACACCAGGACAGTAGAGAGAAATGGCCTGATCCATCTGTGGCCCTGTTCCCTTTCCCCACTGCCTGAATCTACTTTCTGTGTGCACCCATCCCCTTGGTGAACTTATTCTCTTTGTGAAAGTGCTATTGTTCTCTGTTCAATCTTCAAGTAAGAAAAAAAGCTATTTAACAAAGTAAAAATTATCCAGAACTCTCTACACTGTGTACCAATTATCAGCCCTTTGGTGACTATCCTGCTAAATACTTCTCTGTACCTATGTTCCTAGATAGGAATGTGTATAGACAAAAGTGATCGAATAGAAGTGTTGTTCTATATGCTGTATTTTTTCACCAAAATGTATGTTGTGGCCTTCTGTGTCAATAAATATACACAATGTGTCAGCATCTACTTTAATGTCTCTGCGGAATTATTTTAGGAAGTCAAGGAAAAGAGGGAAATATAGTGAGAAGGTATATAGGGGCAGAATTATAGTCTGAAGTGTTCTGTTTTTAATAAGCTTTTAACTTGCAGATGAGAAAAAAAGCCAGGCCTGGTGGCCTAGCTCTGTAGTGGCAGCTATCTGGGAGCCGGAGGCAGGCCGATCCTGAGTTCAAGGTCTCCTTGAGCAATAGAGTGAGCTCAAAGTCAGACTGGTAAAGTCACTTAGAGCTGTCTTAAAATTAAAAGAAAAGAATTGGGGCTGTAACTCAATGACAGAGCACTTGGTGAGACATCATAAAGATACAGGCTTAATCCCCAACACACACACACACACACACACACACACACACACACACACACACACGTGCACACACACATACACGAAGAAAGAAAACTAAATACAGAGGACTGGACTGTTTAGCAAGCATAAAGCTCCAGGCTCAATACCCACCACACACACACACACACACACACACACGAACGCACGCACGCACACGAAGAAAGAAAAAGAAATACAGAACACTGTTTAGCATGCATAAAGCTCTAGGTTTAATTCCCACCACACACAGACACATACATAGACACACAAAGATAAACAAACAAACCATCAAATAAATGCAGAGCACTTGTTTAACAAGCATACAGCTCTAGGCTCAATACCAGCGCGCGCGCGCGCGCGCGCGCGCGCGCGCGCGTGTGTGTGTGTGTGTGTGTGTGCACTCACACAAAGAAAGAAAAAGAAATAGGCTAAATAAATCTTTTAAAGCAAAGGATCCCTTTGCCACAGCTGACCAAGTTCCCTGGCCTGTGGAGCCAAAGGACGGCCTATACTGACTGACAAGTCTCCACTGCTTTCTTCTCGAATACTCCAGAGATGGATGCAGGAGGAGAAGTCCAGTGCTGAGGGAGGATGCTAACGTGGGAGTTGCAGTGATTCAGATCCTGCTGAGGTCCGGAAGGGCATTTCTCCCTGTGGGTGGCATCTTTGAATTTCTATTGCTGGCATCCTGCTCTCTTCTGCGGGCTGGTACTACCCCCTGCTTCCTCCCTGATTGGGGGGGGTAGGGGGGAAAGAGAGCATTTGATCTTAGCTTAGCATCAGCAGGGTCTGCCTTTGTCAGTGGTCCAATCCTTATCCTGTGAACTATAGGACATAGGAGCTCAAGAACCCCAAACCCCAATTCAGCGTAAGATCACTTTCAATCCTGTTCATTCATACAGAGGCAAAGGTCAAAGGTCAGCAATCTCCTTGTCAGGGCAAGGCAGTATGGAGAGAGTGAAATGGATTCATGCATTTGAGTCCCTGAGAGTTTCTCATGTAGGAAATACGGGTCCCACAGAACTGAGAGAATAAGAGTATGCACAGTGCTTTATGAGCCAGGGGACAGGAAAGGAGGGTTAGGAAGACTCACATGGAGATTGGTAGGGACAGAAATCTTGGTAGGAATAGCAGACATGGGGGTTCATTTAAAAATCTGGTCCTCGCTGAACCAAGATTGGCCCAGATTTGTCTTTGAGGCAGGAATCAGGCATGCCATTTTGCTAGCATTTGATGGTCCACTTAGAAGTGGCAAGAGGTCCTGGGCTGAGACCTGGAGGATGCAACAGGCATCAAGAGCTGCCTACAAGAGGTTTTGTTCAGAATCTGACTTTTTCTAGAATGGCCACCTCACCACCTCCTAGTTTCTCACCCTTGCTCCATTTCATGACCCCACGATCTGTCCTTACAATCACTACTGTCCTGTAGCCTGCAGCCATGTTCCCCAGCATTCATTTCAAAAAACAAACAAACAAACAAACAAACAAACAAAATCCTTGAGCCTCAGACACTCTGGCTCGCTACTGCTTCTGATCCTTTGGTTTAGAAGTCAGTTTTGAACAAAGATCCAAGAGGGCCAGCCTTTGCCTCCCTCCAAAGCACACATGAAATCCTGGAAGCCACTATACTCTTCAGAGCCAGAGAGGTGACTTCCTGTGCTCCTAGGAGGAAGTTGCCCCTTAAGCCACTGGAGCTTCCAATGGCCTCCAGTTTGCATAAGTTTGAACTCATTTTTTACCTGCCCCTCTGGACACTTGCTGTATTACTTCCCTCAATGATGTGCCAAGACACTCGATCAAAGGAACTTGCGGAATACTTTATCTTGGCTCACAGTGTGGCAGTGCAGTCCACCGCAGTGGAGAAGGCATGGCAGCAGGAGCCCCAGGCACTCGGTCCGCTGCACCTGCAGTCAGGAAGCAGAGAGAGAGAGAGAGAGGTGATGACTGTTGCTCCTCTGATTTTTTTAATTTGGGACTTTAGCCCATGGGATGGATGGTGCTGCCCACCAGCAGGATGGGTCTTCCCTCTGCAGCTGAACTTTTCTGGAAACCCAATCAGAGGCATAACTAGATGTGTGTTTCCATGGTGATTCTAAATCCAGTCAGGTTGACAATGGAGACTAAGCATGACATAGTCCCTTGCTGAATACCTACCTGTCCCCAATGTCTAGCACAGTTACCCAAATAGTTCTATGTTGCAGATCAACTTTGTTCAACTCCGCTCTTGAAATACTTGTTGAATGATTGGTCCAAAGGCATAGCTTATGCTGCTAGCATTGTTTTTGGGCCCCAGGAAGGGTAAAAACACAGAAAAGGAAAAGAAACAAGCCCTGGATATTCATGACCCTCCTCACTGCAGCTAGAGCAGTGCTTTAAAAAAAAATCCACTCTGGGCTGAGTGGTGATGGCAAACGCAGGAGCAGGCAGGTCTCTGTGAGTTCGAGGCCAGCCTGGTCTACAGAGCACAGCCCAGGACAGGCACCAAAGCTACAAAGAGAAACCCTGCCTTGAAAAACTGAAAAAAAAGAAATCTGTTCTGCGATTCTTTGTCCTTTCTCATGCACTCCCCAGGCTCTGTTGTGCACATTGCTTAATTTTTTCATTTTGCTAACCTGAAACTCCTTCCTTCTTCCTTCCTTCCTCCCTCCTTCCTTCCTCTCTCTCTGTCTTTCTCTTTTCATTTTATGATACACCATCCTTTCCTTTATGTAAGAAAAATCCACTTTTCTTGGCTTGGATAATCGAATACTCAAATAAGACCACCGAGATCACTAAACAAAGGTGACTAGGGAGGGCGTTTGAACTATAATTCCCTTCCTTTCAAGCTATGGGCTTCTTCTTTCTCTTCTGCCTCTACCCTTACCAGTCAGTACAGGCTGAAAATCGTTTTTTTTCTTGTCAGAAGCACCGGGCCTCTAAGTGGCCTTTTATATGGTCTCGCTCCTTCCCGGAATCTTTTCCCTTGGTTTCCATGGCACCCTTCTTTCATGGCTCCCTCCCCTCTGGCTTTCTGGGTGCTCTCTTCTCTGTTCCTTTTGCTTTTTTTTCTCTTCTTGACCTTTACATAATTGCAGTAAAAATTGAATCACCATGACCACTGGAAATTTTAAGAGTTGTTTGCCATGGCAAAACAATTTCAAGTCCTTTAACTACACCCACTCAGTGCCAATCTCATACCAATTTTATAAAATAATCAAGCCTATGATCTCATTTCTTTAATGACAAAACAGAAGGAACATCATAGAAACTCACCTGGAACTGTGAGGCTTGCAAGTTGGGAAACTTGGGAGTCGAATGAGCCTTTCTAGGCCACTGGAAAACACAGGTATTTACATTATAGTTCCTAACAGTAGCGAAATTTACAGTTATGAAGTCGCAATGGAAATAGTTTTAGGGTTGGGGTCACCTCAGCATGAGGGACTGCACTTCACAGCTTCAGGAAGGTTGAGAACCTCGGCTCTAGGGTGGCTGACTCCAAAGCCTGGACCCTTTCCCTGACTCGTGGGCCCGCAGCATGCTGGCATGTGGTGTGTCTTTTTACATACAAGGAAACGTACGTCTGTAAGGCTTGCTGTTGGCACATGTGCTTTGACCATGAGATTAACACAGGGTTAACCCATGGCAGGCTCTAGAAAAAAGACACCTGCTGGGTTTGAATACATTACTTAATCTGCTATGGAAAGAAGGACATAAGAAATGAAAAGCTGCCCCTGTTAACCACTCTGTGCTTGCTTACTGTTCATTTGAAGGTGTAATTGTCCGGCTCCTCAAGCTCCACTGAGCCTGGCTCCTAACAGTCCTGATAGTCTGCTCAGGAATGCCTGGGGTTTGCTGAGCATGGTAGGAGAATAAGATGGTATTGATTGACTGCCACAGTGGATTCCTGGGCCAAACCAACACTGCCCCCACTCCATGCATGACAGGAGGTGTGTTTTGTGCTTCCGTGGGTGAATTCTCCTGTTCTTGCATGTTAAAGGCTTCCCGCGTCTTTTTAGACTGCTCAAAGCCATTGAAGCCGTTACCCTCAGCAGTGTGTGATGGGGGCAGGGGTGGGAGAACTGATATTAGAGTGACCCAGAACTTCCCCAGTACATGGCAGGAAGGAGGCATGGCTGGGGTCTGATGGGTCCTTACTAACCAGCTAAGTATGTGTTGCCACAACCAGGGATCCCAGGGACAGGCTAAGACAGTGCAGAATCCTAGCTAGCTAGGGCTAAAAGATTTTGAAGGTATACACGGCCTGATGA